AAACTAATTTCATTCCAATCTAATTACACCACAACTCATAATCCAACAGCTGGACTTACTACTGTAAATCTCCCTGAATCGCTGGACTCCTCTATTATTCCGCTTCCTTTCGCAGTCTGGGCTCCATTTGTGGCCTACATATTTAAGTAACTCTTACATCCAGCTGGCAACAAAAAGTTCTTTTTTGGCCGCATTCCAATGCTGGAATGCTGGACTCGGTAAGCAGCAGACTGGGCAAATTTAATGGTGCCCATTACGCGCCATATCGAATGGCCAATTGTGCCCAAAAAATTATCGCGCCATAGCATGCCATCGCCGTTCGGGCCGTATGCCATTCGCTGGACTGTCAAATAATTAATTAGAAAATAATTGCACGTAATAATTCATGGGGTCCCATCGGCCGGCCGCTCCAAATTGGGCATAGATAGATAGGGAGAAGACAGCAAATAACCCATGGGTAGCCTGCCACAGATTTGGTCCTGCGATTTCCAACTGCCGCCTGATTGGAGTGTGGGATGGCACTTGGCTAATTCCAACAGTTACTGCTGTTAATTTTGTATGCATTCGATTGGGTGCGCTGCGAGTGCCGCATGCCCCATGCTCCCAAACTGTCATGTCGCATACATCCAAAATTAATCATTGGCATGCAGCATAATTTATTATGTCACACAGTGGCCGCATTGGCCACAAACCCAAAACTGCCAGCAGGACCGAATCAAACCAGGGGCTAAGGGCGTTTAGTTCCTGCGGTTGTTGGTTTGACATGGCTCAGTTAAAAATGGAGCTCGGAATCTGAGTACAGTGAAACCAGACTACTTGGTCATATATTAAATATAAATAAATCCGAAAAAAATACCACGTTTGCCGGAAAAGATTTGGTACACCAAGATAACTTGATATGAATTTGAAAACTTTGGCTTAAGCACGCATATTAGTTAATCCCAATACTTTATTCCACTTTCCAGCAGCCAACATATACACCAGTTTGCTCCACTTTAGACTTGTCATGGCTGATAGGCGGTTTTTGGGCTCTTCAATCAAATGCGCAAATTTGTATAATTACAGGCTGGCCGACTGCTGGCCTCAAGTGTTGGAGCCATTTGATTTAATCACGTTAATAGCCTTTGCATGTCGCGGTGTTCTACATATACCTATATATGTGTGTGTGTGTGTGGGACTTTGAGGTGTTAAATGTTTGCGGCTGCATTGTAATAAACTTGCATGCAAATGGCCGCCCATCAACTTTAATTACGCCCCGAGTGGCAGCGAGTTTTGAAGTAAATGAAGAAAAACTGCTGGGCTCTAACGGAAGGTAAATTGATGATTGATGACATTTTTTACGAGTGCGTGTGTGTGTGTGTGCGTGTGAGCCAGGCTAAAATGTTTGAAGAGGTTTTCCCTAGAAGGTGTGAGCCGTCAAAGGAGTTCCGGTTGATGTTGGATAACCAGTCACAAGTCCTTGCAACCACCATGATGGATGGAATGTGCGTTCCATTGCAATGTGTCCCTTGGGTGAGAAAAGAAAACAGGAATCCATAATTTATGCAGGTCTGTCAACGGAGTTGAGGCCCACTAAATGAAAACACAATAGTTTGGATTATTTTGCATTTTTTAAAGTTATTTTTATTGCATTTCTCGCTCTTTCCCTCTGGCTTTCTTTTCAAATGTATTTTGTATGAATCTCAAATGTTCTCCACTTGCTTGCTATTTTATTTGCCATTCACAAACAATATTACAATTTGCCATGGATTGGTATCATGTTTTTTTTTATTTCTTTTTTACTGTTTTCTATGTTTGTTTACAATTTGTCACAACCTTACAAATTGAAAATTGATATAAACCAATAAAATTCGGAATTTGTGTACGTTTATTATTGAAAATTTTCATTCAATAGCTTCCGGTATGTAAATGTCATGTAAATTAAATTTGAGCTGAATTTACCTTTAGTTCTGGTGTGTTTGTGTGTGTTTGCTGTTAGTTGAGTTTTTGTTCTGCGATTGTTGCTAATATAATACTTGTTTATCGTCTCTGCGGTTCTATTATCAATTTTGTTTTGTAAGGTAGCGCCTGAGAACGCGAGGCTTGGCCATTTTTTTTGGAGCCTTGCCCGTTCCTATACACAGTGCTAAATTTAAAAAATATGTTTTTCATTATCATCTAAATGTTTAAAAATCAAAATAGGCTTCTTGAATATTTCCTTTTTACGGGAGGGGAAAACTGTAATGCTATATTCAATGTTTTTGTTTTTTTGGTTTTTTTATATTTTAATTCATATTTTATTTCAATTTGTGTTTTGCATTTGCTCATAAAAACAAATGATACAACTTACAATTTGGCACATCATTAAAGATTAGAGTTTCCATATAATATATATTTATATACTTTATATTTTATACTTTATATGACGCCTAGGCATCTGATCTATGTGAAAGTAAAACAAAAGCTGGCGCTGGCTTATGGTTAGACTACACAGATTACAGAGTTTTTTTGGGGGGGTGGGGGTCACAAAATGGATCGGGATAAATGAAAACTTTATCATATACATCATATATCGTATGTTATCATATAGCTGCGGTGTTTGATTGAGTTGCGTTTTTGCATTTATAATTTACTTGTAGGTTGACTTTCCTCAACGCATTGCTTAAGACAAAAATTGTGTTTTCTTAGTTTTTTCTTTTAAAAGTTTGCGGTGGAAGTTGAGTTCATAATTTAAATGTATATACCATACCGTATTATATTTAAGTTTGCTTTATAACTAGATGGTTTACCTCCTCCTGCCCTTTGCGTATCAAACCCAAATTTCTATGTTTTTCTGTCCTGTGCTCGGGGTGGGCCAAAAAGTATGCTAGGCTTTTTGGCAAACTATTTTTGCGCTAGTTGAAAAATTCATTAAATTTAATTACGTCTTTATTTTAAAATTCACTTGAAAGCTACATTTAATTTGGCAATTGTTGGGTTCGATTTAGTTTTCTTTATTGTTTTTCCTTCCCTTTAGTTCGTCATCAATTACTTATCCATTTGTGTCATCTGTCGTCAGCGTACAAACTAATACCTAACTAAAAATCATTTAAAATATAAACTTTGGCTTTAAAAATGTCAACGTAAATGTAGTATATCAATGCATGATCATGTGAGAGAATCAAACAAAAAATACACCTTAATGAGGGTTCAAGTGTGAGTATGCCGTAAATTGCTTCGATTTTCCAGGACCTGGCCTGTGCGTGTGTGTTGTTTGTTGTTTGTGTGTGCGTTGAGAGGAAAAAGGTAAAATACCATGTCATCATAAATATGTACAATCTGAGACAGTTGCTAGGTGATAAGCTAAATAAAAAACCATCAAAGTTGAAGCTCTTTGGAGTTGATGAAATTTCATTCCTCACTTTTCCCTCATTTCAAGTAATTGGTAGTAGGTTTTTAAGGAAATTCGAAGAACACCTAAAGAATTGCACGATTACACACACACAATAGTAGCTTGGTATTTTTGTTTTTTGTTTTTAGCATAGTACGGTTGATAAACAACTAGTTTAAATTTGACGACAGTAGCTGCCTAAGAATCAAAGTTTGTTTGGTTGTTTTCCATTGAGCATTTTAATCTTTAACATTTGAAAAGTACACAACGTTAAAAGTGGTTTCATTTTTGTTTCGCGTGTGCATTAGATTCGAGTGTGTATAAAATAAATTCTTAGTTTGCTTAGGGAAGTTTCGATTCGGTCTACACCGAAAATGAACAACATCGAAACGTCGTTTCTTTTTCAATTTTTCAATTTTTTGTTTGTTTTGTTTCTTTACACAACACACAAGGAAAGTGCTACGGAGTAAGAGCTAAAAATTTTAATTTTTAATGCTTATTATTCGATTTCCACATCATTCATCAATGGCTTTTTGTCACTGGAAGCTTGACCTTTTAAAACTAATATATATATATATTTTTTTTAATTTTCCATTTTTTTTTGTTGCTTTGCTGCTACGGCGGCATTTAAAGTAAATATTATTGTATATTCCAAGGATATGTCTACGTGTTGATCTTTTGCATTTACCTATGCGCTACGATTTTTTTTGAGCAATTCGAATTGAGTCGTGAGTTGAGTGTGAGTGGTTTTAGCTGCCAAAATATAAAATTATTAGGAACAACCAAGCAATGCATTAAAATTAAATTCGTTGACAATACATTACAATACAGAAATGAGTATTCTTTGGGTAATCAAATTATAGATATGAATCTAAAGTACATACGAATAAATATATATTTTTGTTTGTGCTTTAACAGTTCGCAAATAATATACAATTTGATTTGTTGATGTGGCTGCTGCATTGTTACTTTCCCTTACTAACATACTACAATGCTAATGTTTTAGAATAATTTGTAAATCATAAGGACTAACTTAGTTCAACGAAGATTTGAAAATCAACAACCGAGGGTTTTATATATATTTTTTTGTTTGATGATGTTTCAGCATGAGAAGTACCTAAAACATTGCTCTTTTTCCTGGTTTGCTTTGATATACAAATACAATGCCTATGTATAATAACTATATATCATGTCGGTAATATATATATATATTTATGTATACATACATATATAAATTCTGAACTGCCGCACAAAGTTTCAGCTTTTGTTCTGGTAAAAATCTACGCATGAAGCACATTTTTCTTTTCATTCTCTGCAAAACTATTTTGCAATTTGAATTTATGTTTTAATATATTTTTTTTTTCAATTTTTTTGTTTGGTTTACTTATATAAACTCCATAGAACTGCGTTTAGCGGCGTATATTTTCCTTTTTGGTTTAGCTTTTTTGCTTTTATTGGACGACATTGATTTGTTTATGTTCTTTTTGTTTCTTTGTTGCTTAGCTTTGATTTTCAACTCTCCAAGGACATTGAGCGTCTGTTGTTGGTGTTGTCGTGGCTGTTGCTGGGTGTTGAGTATCCTGCATCTATCGGTTTAGTTGTAACTTCTACTTACTGCACGTAGGGAGGAGTATTTACGTCTAAGTTACTTATTTGCTTTGCTTTGTTCAGATATTGAGCATTTTCATCGAGAGTAGTTCAAGTGCGTTTTTTGGCTGACTGGCGTAGATTGTTCTTAATATGGCGTGAAACGATTGAATCCACCGCGGTACATGGTTGCCTAATGAGAAATGGTCGAAAAAGTGCGGGAAGTTCAGGGATTTAATACAATAAATATATTCGATTTAAATGATACATGTTATTTGTGCTCAAATTAATAATAAACAACTTACCCCGTATCCAGGAACCGGTCCAATGCCATGTCCTAGATAAGGATCTGCATATTCGCGCGCATATCTATAAATATTTTTGTGACGTATGTTTAGCTTATTAGTAAAACTCAATGGCGGCAGTTTCAATTGTTAATGTTATTAAATGATTGATTGATGATTCCAGTTGGTTTTTTGTTATTTTGTGATTAATTATTTAGTAAAAGTTATTAAGTTTAGACAAGGTCTTGCAAAAGTGTTCAATCGACTGACGGATCTCTTCAGTCTTCGGAGTTAGGTTTCTACACTTTACCCAATTACACACATTTATTGTTAAAAAGTTTCAAAAAGAAGAGGTAAATTCAAATAATTAGTCAGATTTTAAATAAAATATTAATCATCACAAATTTGGTATAAATTTGGTATAAATAAAAAGACATTTTGTATAAATAAATATTAATAAAAAGACATTTTGTATAAATAAGTATTAATAAAAAGCTATTTTGTATAAATAAAAACATACAAGACAATTAAGAAATGAGTCTTTAAGATACGTACATTGAACTTAAGTGCCAAACAAATAATAAACATATCATGGTAGAATGAAATAATAAATTATTATAAATTAATGTATAAAACTAAAACGTTTTTGATACCAAATAGAAGGAAATAAATTATAAAATAGGTTTTAGGCAAATTAATAAATACGAAAATGATAGGTTAGATTGAATACAATAGACCCTACATTTAGCAGTTTAAAGTTAAATCTCGAAATAAAAAACATTTGTTGGTACACTTAATTATTAACCAATATATTTTGATTTCCGAAATAGTTGTAATGCCAACTGACATGGTTAGTGATGGTTCTATGATAATACCAACTGATGTCATGATGCAACTGTTAGTGATGGGTTTATGTGTGGGCACGAGGGGCAGCCAAGTTCTGGCTTTGTCAACCCCCTTGTGCTGATGATGTCGGATTAGAATGGGTCTAGGGTGGCATCTAGTGTGTACTTGAACTTACCCAGCCACGGTGGCGTAGCCGGCGAGTGCCGGCTGGGCGGCTGCTGCGGCAGCGGCACCATAGGCGGCCCGGGCGGCTACCGCCGTGTAGGTGGTGGCCGCCGTGGCGTACGCCTGCTGCTGGGCCTGAGACAGCGGAGTCTTTAGCAGCGGAGCAGTGGCCTGGAATAATGGTAAGCAAATGGGGCATTAAACTGGGGCAACTCGGCGGCGGCGACTGAGGAACAGACCCAGTTACAGTTTGGGGGTTTGGGTTTTATATTATTTTGTATTTCTTTTTTTTTTATTTATTTGATTTTTTTGGGTGGGGCGACAACGGCAAACGACAAGACTAGCGGGGGAGTCGGTGAGAGCAAGTGTGGTGAGAAATTAGGAACCCAAAACCAAACCGGGGGAGGCCAAAATATACACACACATAAATATATTGTAACCAAAACCAAAATGAAAGAAAAACGGGTGCAAACAGTGGAGTAGTGTGATTAAAAATATTCTATGTACACTTAAATATCTAATTCAGGTTGATTTCATATTTTTGTATTCCTTTGTAACCGAGCTACGTAGAACCCAAGATGCCAGGCTACAAAACCGAAAAGCGAGGCACGAAACCAGCAAATAACTTATCGTATTGAATTACTTGCTAGGGTTAACTTAAGACTTAAGGCATAGACATACAGTTTAAGGGGGGTGCATACAAAAAGGCATTGAGCAGAACGCAAAATTGTGACAACAATCAAACGGAAAGTCGGGATATCTAGGTGCATATGGGTATGGAACTAGAACTAGATATGATTATTTTTACCAAAACATTCTGTGGAACCGGAATGCGGTTGATCGTATGTGGGTTACTGTTTAGCGTAGTCACAGTGCGGCGCTGTAATTTATGGTTTTTGTTTTTCAATCAGTATTTTATTTTTGTTTTCAAAAGTGTTGTGATAGTTGTTGTTGTTGAGTTGAGTTGAGTGGGTTGTAACAGTCGTGAAAGATAACCAAAGAAGAATTTGTAGTAGTTACAAAATGTATATAGCATCGAGTAATAGGTATTTTATCAAAATAGTTGGTAGTATTAGTATTTAGCGAAAGCAAAAATGTAAAAGAAATCAAGAAAACTAGCAGAAGTACTTCAAAATGATGTAGATTAAGTAGTTAAAGAGAGCGTATGCTTCATAAAGCCACCTGTGGTCACTAATTGAATCCTCGGATTTAAACGAAAACCAAACAAAGGATGCATTTAATACGGTAGAGAGCTTATACACAAGTGTTCAGTAGTTATTCAGACATTGAGTTGAATAAGCTTAGCCAAGCTTAAGTCGAAACAAAAGTAATGTGATTTACGACCAGTTACCAAGTTCGATCTCAACTTAAAGGTGTTACACAGCAAGAAATTAGGACGCGTCGTTAGTTCGGGAAGGACGTGGATAATGCATAAGGGAACTCAAAAGGAAGCGACTTAAAACAATTTATACGTATGAGTAGTAGATAATAACGTTTGTTCCAAAAACCAAGTCAAATGTTTCAAAACTCAAACGGTGTCTTTCACAAGCTACCATAAAAATATACAAATTAAAACTGAATTGTTCTTAATTTTTTTGGTGGTTGTGGTTAGGATATTAGTTTGAAAAAGTTTTATTACATTTAATATGGCGGCTGGCTGAGCGGCTGGAACTTCAGTGACCGGTTTGGCTGCCTGGAAGATTTATATAATATTTTCATGTATTTTCGTGGCAACTTAGGGGATTGTCTTTAGCTCTAGACTACGCTTTATAATACCTTAAATACGTACACTGAACCTAATGCTAGTTGGACATCCATTTCAATGAACGAAACTCACCTGGAAGCGTAGATTTGGATCAGCGGAAGCAGCGGCTGCTAAGAAGGGATCATAGTATACACTGCATTGGGGACAAGATGATAAGAGAAGATAATATATTAATATAGAATTCGTGGTGGGATCATGTCTGGGTGAAGGTGAGTTAAGCCAGAGGCAAACAATCAATGGTGTATATACGATATAGCCATTTTAATTGGTTTACCTCTGCTTCACTTTGCTGGCACTTAAAAGCAAAATTCAAAAATCAATTTTCTTTTGGTTCATTTTTTTAACGCACTTGTGTGGGCATTGATTTGGGCACAATGGAAAACCAGACGGGATAAAGTTTGTTTGTTTAAATAAAAAATATTTCTCGCTAGCCAATAAAACTTTATCCACATCCGGTTTTAGTTATTTTTGTTTGTTTTCTTTTTTTTTTTTGATTTATTAAATGTTGTTGTTGTTTTTCTTGGTACCGGATGCTGTTGTGGGTAAATGGCTGGAACTCAAGGGGCAACTGAAAAACAAAAGTTGGCACCTAACCGCTGTAGACACCCCACCTACCTACCTAAAGAGCCTGTGCTAAACTGACCTGATCTGACCTGATTCCCCACTTGATGACGAACTGATTTGGAGGAAATGTTTGAGATAGAGGAAACGAAATAAAGGTAAATTAAAAGGTTTAGATATTGTCGTTTATATAGAGCACTAGCAAAGATAGCCAACCAACCAACCACATACATTGGGGTCATTCCATTACCCAAACACTACGAGAATTGTCTTGCTTGCTTGCTTTAAATTTGCATTTAATCTTTAGACAGAACAGACACTCATGCACCTAGCTAATTAGTTTGGATTTTTTTGTTTTTTTTTTTAATTTTTATTGGTTCTTTGGTTTGGCATGTCTTGATGTGTGTTGATAAGTATACAGATCTTAATGGAGCATTCATTCGTACGCTATGGTGTGAGCTTTGATATATGGGTGGGTGAGTGTGTTTGGGTGTGTGTGTGTGTGTGTGTAGAGAGAGCAGCCACAAAAGAATAAGTTAATCAAAGGTCTATATAAATATATATATAATGTCGGGGCAGAACATGCACGCAAGGCGCTGGCAGAGAGCGACGCAGTCGCATTAAAACACTTTCAAGTCAAATTCAAATCGAAATTCATCATACGCCTAGTGGTACACAATATACAACCGAGTAGAGTAGGTCCCTTAACCAATTGTAACGATAAATTAACGATGCCAAAACACACACTTCTGTCAATCAAAGTATGATCAAATATAATGCGAGTGTGTATTTATATATAGAGTTTTAGATAGTTTACGTGGATGGTGTTTGTGTTAGCGTGCGTTAATCGGTTGCTGCTTTTTGCAAATTTTGTATTCAGTTTGCGTTCGGATCGTTATACTCTTCTATTGCTCGATTTATGTATACAAAATAAGACAAAGTCTAGGTTTCATTATATGCGATATTAAAACTTTACACACACAAGATAGCTAAAAAACATTTGTCACCAACAAGATAGAGACGTATATAGTAACACAGAAAGAGAGAGAGTTGGTAGGAAAAACAATCTTTAAGCTATAAACAATTTAAGCTTTAGGTTATAATCATGACAGATGAGCAGGAAGTTCCACTGCGGTTTCGGTTCAGACACCACAGAAAAAAACGTAAGGATTAGGGAAATAATTATACATTTAAGGTTAATACTACGTTTATACGCCAACATGTATGGTTGAGAAATAAATACTTGTCTCAAACAAAAATATATAATAGCTTTTAACAGCTGCAAAGTAATATTTAAAGTTCATAGTTAATTTGTACATATTTGTAACTTTTTCATGATTGCTTTGATGCGCAAATATCAATATTGAAATGAACAGGAATGGCAACATCTAAAGATTTGTTTTGTAAATTTGGTGAATCAGAAATGAAAACCATTAAATAAAAGCATTCGAAATGGTAAGGCGTGCGCATAAACGTAGTATTACTGATGGCGGGGTGAATATAATGGTAAACTGGGGTGCGCTACAACTACATACGCAGCGGAATCAACTAAATAACAAAGTTACAGCTACAGCGGACTAACTACGGCGGGATCGCGGTTGTGACGGAGTGAAGTCCACGGCGGAGGACTCTACTTACGGCGCGAATCCATGCAAAGCGGCCGCATTGTTGGCCGCATTGGCCGACGCAGCCATGGAAGCAGCAGCCGCAGCAGCAGCGGCTGTTTGCGGCGATTGTGTGGCGCCCGTGGCCGCCGATAGACGGGCGGCATAGGCGGCGGCGGCGGCAGCAGCGTTCGGATTACCGCTCGGATTCTGTATGGCAGCGGCTAGGGATTGCTGCAGTGCAGCAGCATTGCTGGCGGCCGTGGGCACCGCGACCGCTTGCAGTTGCGCCAACTGTGGGCCGAGGGCGTGAGCGTGGGCGTGGGCATGGGCGTGGGCGGCATGCATGTGCGGATGCGAGGCGGCAGCTGCGGCGGCTGCTACGGCGGCATGTTGCTGTTGTTGCTGCTGCTGCTGCTGTTGATGTTGCTGCTGTTGCTGCTGCTGCTGGACCGCCTGTTGCTGCTGCACGGCCTGCTGTTGTTGCTGCTGCTGCTGCTGGTGGTGTTGCTGCTGGGCGGCGGCAGCAACCTGCTGCTGTTGCTGCTGGACAACAGCCTGCTGCTGCTGCTGCTGCTGTTGGGCGACTGCTGCCGTGGCCACGGCGGCGGCGGCCAGCTGGCGTTGCTGCTGTTGTTGGGCGGCGGCGGCGGAGGCCGCCAGCAGCGCCGGATGATGATGCGGATGATGGGGATGATGGTAGGGTGTGGCGCCGACCACGCCCACGTGTCCGCGCTGGATGGCCACTCCACGCATTGCGGCGGCAACGGCGGCTGCAGGAATCACCGAACCGATACGGAAATTCGTATATTTTTGGGGCATTGATATATGTTTTTTTTTTTTTGCAACCATTTGACACAACATTTTTGACCAGTGTGTTTTATTGTTTGTATTTATGTGATATTTTTATTATTATTTTTTTTTGTCATTTATGTGTGTGTTTTGTGTGCAAAAAGTAGAAAAAGGAAAAGAAAAGAACACAAAACGCATGCGGTTAGTTTTCTCTCTTGATATATAAGTAAATATTATATATAGTATATAGTATATGGCAAATCTAGGCATTATGTAACGATTTTTGTTTTGTATATATAGTCATAGCGCTGAGATGATATTGGTATATACATATAACAATACATAAGACATACGTGTAGCTCATACATATGTATGTAAATGGGATTTATATCGAAACATACTTAAACATTAGAACACTGAATTACCAAGAAATGCTACGCATTAGTTGCATTTATATTGCATAATTGTATATATACGAGTATAGAGATATTATCATCAACAATACGAAAAACATTGGACCGATCTTTAGTACAGAGTATATAGCATATGTACATACATCCATATGTGTACGTATGCGGCAAGACCTTTTCGTTTCAACAACTCATTGCATTTTGCTGTGTGTGTGGGGGGTTAAAAGCATTTAAGTAAATAAAATACATTTAATTGTTGTTTAACCCTTGCACCTTTCAAATACATTTAAAACTAGCAAGAACATTTACCAAGTGCTAAGTGGAATGATATAACAAGTAGGCCGATTGAAATGCAGATTGAAATTCGGAGGTTGGAATTTTGCGGAATTTCTACATAGAGGGTGGTGGAGAGGAGTGGAATTGCATGCCGAGGGATAAATCATAAGTAAAGGAATTTAAATTATGCAGAAACGATATGAGAAGTTATTCGGTCAACACCAATTTTTTCACTTTACTACAATTGAATCGCATTTAATTTGCAATCGGGCCGCAGAAGCCGCAGTTTAAATGTTGTCCTTTTTTTAATTCGATGCGGTTTTATCACTCAATTTATAATAGTTGCCACATATGTATGTGGATGTTTAAGCCTCATAATTAACAATTTCGCCAGAAAAGCCGACCGATAACCAGAAAACCTGCTCATTATGATCGGCCGCAGGTATCCGTAGGAATGTGACATTGTCTGTGAAAATCAGTGCACAAATCATAATTGAAATTTATGAAATTATTTTTGGACTTTGAATCGGTGTGTTCGCACTGCGTTTGGCAACATTGCGCCGCAAATTGAAAATTTGTTTGACCAACATGCAATTAAAAATTCGATTTGCCATATTTGTATGCAAATTATTGGCCAAAAACTTAAACCGTGTGTGAGTGCGGCAAAGAATATCATAGGAAATATTCATTGAATTTGAGCTGAAACGTTTTTCTGAAATGTTTTGCTAATTTTGCGTGGCTATACAAACTAAACGCTCTGGCAACGAAATAATCAAGGGAATTAAATAGATTTTTTTCGAAGCGGTCTAGGTGGCATGCAAAAATAAAGTTTTTGAAATTCCATTCAGTTTCTGCGTTTAATTGGCAAATTGAATTCGTGTTCTCTTCAATTGTTCAACGCCAAGTCAAATAGAGAAACACAAAAAATCGAAAATCGTGCAAAACTCCAGGGGTGTAAAAACCAATAACAAACAGGAGCAGTATAAATTGGGGAATAGTTGGATAGATAGAGAAATAATAGATACGAGAGTATGGTTACTAGATAGTGATGCTCTAAGAGAAAGGCCTTACGAAAAAATGCTTGCTGCGGCAAAATGTTCGCTACCGATAAACATTACGATATATTCGATATATTTACGATATACAATTTAGACTAATGGTTAAAGCTAAAACCTTGCCATTCTTAACAGCTAGTTACGGTTACAGTTTCAGGTGGTTGCCACTAGTTTGATTTATTTGAATTATATACTGCTTCGATCGAGTGTGGTTGGTGGTGTAAGTATGTGTGCCTAGACGTTGGAACAATGCAATCTCAAGGACGGCAAAAAATATGCAATATTTATGGAATATATCGATAGTCAAGTAGTCATACCCAAATGCGTAAACCAAAGTAACAAGACAACAAACATTTATACTGTATTATGGTACAAAGATTCTCATAGCTAAAGAGTTGGTGATCTTGGTTCTGGTTCTAGTTGTTGTTGCAGTGTTATTTTTTATACTTTTATCGGTTAATCAATTGCTACGCTTAAAAGCTGTATTTCTTTTTTTATATTACCACTATTTTTGGTTTGATTTTTGAAAATTTAAATGAATTTACAAGAAAATTACTTGTTCTTCTACATAAAATAATAAAGTTCTTTTTTATTTTTAATCATAATTACGTAGTTTCAAAACATATAAATGTTTAAGGGAAAACTAATATTTTTTTTATATTTCTTGGAATTTTTTTATGATTTTACTGCTGGTATTATAATTTTAATATTTTTAAACAAACATAAATAATTTTTTTGTTGTTCCAAATATTTTTGGTATATTAATATTCAACCTATAAACGTAGCAAACAATTTCCTTGATGTCCTTTTTGAATTCTGCTTTTAGACGCGCGTTTTCACCAAGGACCCTGAGATCAGGATCCTTTTTGGAACACTTTTGGTCGTCGTACCTCCGCCGTGGCGTTGCTGCTGTGGGCGTTGCTGCTTGGACAGCGGTGTGCGGTGGGCGTGGCGCGAGCATTATGGGCGTGGCCGCCGCTGCAGCCGCAGCATGTGCGGCGGCCGCTGCTGCCGTTGCCGGCGATGTTGCCGCTGTACCGCCCGCGACCGCTGACGGCGCTTGCGCCATCTGCATGGAGACGGGCAGCTGAAGGTGGGTGAGGGTGGGGGCTCCGGCGCCAACGGGGGCGCCCAGGAATGGCCAGGCGGCGACCGGCAGGCGGTAACCTTGGATTTGTCATATAGGTTTCAAATAAGTTGGGTTTATAGTTTTTTTCTTTTTTTTTCTTTTAACTCTGTGGTCACCATTAAAATGAACTTAGAATGCAAGTGTTAGGAGTGTGCGTGGGGTATCTGTTTTTTTTTTTTTCTCTTTTTTTGTTTTTGGATTTTAATATAGAGTATATACATATTCGAGGGATGCATGATGAGGTTGCTGTTGTATTTGTAGTTGCAGTTGTTTTGCATTTCGGCTTAGTTCTAGTGCTAAGTTAGACTTTGGTTGAATCTTGGCGCGCGACGAGAGTTACCAGTTACAGTTACGAGTACGAGTATAAATAGTATACGCTAAGGAGCATTTCAGACATGTTCAGACCAAAGGAATACCAGACCAAACGTAAAACGTGTAATAACGATAAAGTAAATCAGGACAACAGAGAAGTACACAATAATCAAAGTCAAATTCAAATTCAAATACAAATTCATAATCATAATCAGAATCAGAATCATAATGGAACGCACATACAACGAAACTGGTTAAGAAAAGGATATGTAGATAAAGTAGTTGGCATATAAATTGATATATAAAGTATATATAGTAGGTAGTATGCATAAGACAACACAGCCGCAATATGCTAAATTCATAACCATCAGTATAATGATCTCAGTCATTGTCATCAGCATTATTCGTCATTATTGATTATTAATTTAAAATCAGGACTAGAAAAAAATTGGCGGACGGGCCGGCTTTAAAAACGGGATATTCGAGCGGGTGTTAATGTGGCTTTTTATGATTAAAAATTGAATTTAATTTCGGTTTGGTAATTTTAGCTTGCTTGGTATTTTCCACTTTGTTTGAACTTTGGTTATATGCAGACAAAACATAGGAAATTATAAACCAAAAAAAAAAAGTAAATGGTTTAACTTTTACAAACGGTTATCAAATAAGTTGCAGCATTATATTCATATATAGTTTGTATGCATAGTTTATATAGATTAACGAAATTTTCGTCGGGACCTACCAAAACAAAAAATAAGTAGTATTACATGTATCTATTGAACGAAAAAAAATGCTCGTAAAAATATATACTTGTCCAAACATATTTGCAGATTGCAACCAAATAAAACTAAGAATAACGAACAAATGCAATCGCAAAAATGGTTTCATTTTGGTGAACTCTGGACATTTTAATCCTCCCGACGACGATGACCTACACATGGGCTTATATATCAATAGCCATAACAATAATATCAACGTTGGTGCCCTGCCTAAATATTTGTTCATTGCTTTTGGTCTTTCGGCTTACGAGCTAAAAAATTCGTTGATAAAACTCTTAATAATACATGTAGTTATATATGTATGTATGTTTACACAAACGAAAACTGGTCAATTATTGTACATTTATGATAACTTATTGCTTCTCAGTGTTGGGCATGATGTTTAATTGTGTGTATCATTATTTGAGAAAATACAACGAAAGTACGGCAGGCAATAAATACGTAATAGTAGCAGTAAAACACTAAAGTGAAAAATGTGGACAAAACGCTTACCTTCTGGCCATTGTACGCAAACTGTGTGTCCAGCAAGAGATTTATATATTTTTGCACATATATTTGTATTTTATTGTTCGCATGGAAAAGTGAAAAGAAAATATTTTCATTAGTCTCGCATTTAAATACGTGTTTTCTAGCATTTTACTTTTTTTTGGGTTGCCTATAATAAATATTGTTGAATACATGTCTTAGGCACATAAAAAACAGGCAGCTCCATAACAGATACTATATTGATTTTTCTTTTTTAGTGCTTATGGTAATTGGTTAAATACTGTAGAATTCTAATTGATTTGTGGCATTGTGTTTTCATTGTTTGCTGTTGCATGCAGCATCCTTGTGTTTTCTCTCATTGGGAAAAGGGCCATTTGCATACGTATGTAAATTTAAAATTTGCACATAGAGAAAAAGGGTCTATGCAGATCATATTTCATAATTTAGCGCACCAAACTTCAAATGGAAAGAGCTTTAGTACAGAGGACGGTTGAGTCGGAAAATTGGAAAGCAACTGAACGAGACAAATGTATTACAATGTAGGATCAAACTATTTTCTTTCCCTGTAGATTTAAGCCTTGCATACATTCATGTCAAATAGTACAGGAATGCTTAACAAAATGACAAATAAGCAAGCCATGATTGCATCCTTCCAGCGATCGAATGCTTACACAATGAGCTCTGCTCTTTGTGCCATGGAAATTCACAGGAGTCTGCAATTGCCTTGGAAAATGGTAAAATAAATACCCAGAAAAACCATCGAAAAATGCAGTAAGAGACATGTCAGTCAGACAGACAGAAAGACACCAGCATGAAGGGCATGTACAAAAAAAAAGAGAGGCCATGGTAAAGAAGACAGGGCGCATTAAGTTTAACATGTCAAAGGATCAACGCAAGGAAGAAACTAAAGGGGGAAAAAACACACACACCAAGTAAGCTAAAATGGCAAGATGATGAGGCAGAAGTCAGTGGGGAAAATTGTGCGGGAAAATCAACCTATACGGAGTAAATTTTCTTGCAAATGCACAAAGTAAGCGAGTGGGGTGCACATTTGCATATAAGACATAACAAAACACAGGGCTTGTACAAAACGTTCTTGCCGCCCTCCAGATAACCAGAAAACTTTACTTTTTTTTGCTCAATTTATGGGCGTGTGGCAGTGTCTGTTCGAGCGGTTTGTTTTGCCAGCAGGGTGAGGCTGCACCGCATGTTTGCAACTTTGTGGTTTATTCGCAATTATCCTGACTGCCGCTTCACTTACTGACTGACTAACTGACTGACTGAATGACTGAATGACTGAACGACTAAACGACTGAATGACTGACTGACTGACTAACTGACTGACTGACTGACTGGCTCTGCTGAATCCCTGACTGCCACCTAACGAGCAGGACAACGACGTGAGGCGTCCTCCAGCTGGGTAATAATGCAGCAGGCGATTTGCCATGCAAAAGAAGCCAGTTCGAAACGTGATAAAGTGACTGCCAGGACCTAGAGTAAATGGAGCTCTGCTGTCCCTTCGATTCTTTCTGCTGCCTGCACTGAACGAAATAAAGAGTACTTGCGCTTGCAACGTGTTGCTGCCGATGTTTACGTCATCAGTTCTTATGTCCTTTTCTAATGCTGGCTAAATGCAGGTTTAATGGTCACTATTATTACAGCAAAGTGTGTCTTTTTTTGTAGTGTACTACGTAGAGCGGTGTCCTGCGACAGCCGGTAAAGTTCTTCGTCTCCAGCAGCATTTAGTGCAACGCAAATGAAGCGCATTAGGTGCACGTGCACTTGGCCAAGGACAACAGGGCCAAATGGGAGCTGTCAGGATGGTGGGGCAAGTCTGCTCCTCGGTTCCATTGCTCCAGCCATATTGGCCTTTTTGTGTCCGAGTCCAAGTTTTGTTGGCAATACAAAAGCATTTTGCATCAGCAGCAGGATAACCGACCACCGGGGAACAGGAGCGTCAGCTGGAGACGGAGATGGAGCTGGAGAAAAGCTGCTATCGTCCTGAGCCGCTTTGCCAAAGAAGTACTCGCATTTCCCCCATCGCATCCTTTTCAATCTGATGCCTTGGGTTTCGGTTTAGTTTGGTCTGGTTTGCTCGGTTTGTAAGCGGCTTATCGTATTGAGCGTACCCAAAGTATAGATTTTGCGCTGTGAATACTTTTTAATGGCAAACAGAGAGAAGACGATTTAATCAGCAGTATTATTTATTATACATTGCATTGGAAACTTTTCTCGGTTTCAACTTATTTTCTTAGTCCTCTCATCTTTCTTTTTATAGCTATTTCTGCAAAAAAAAAGGGACTTGCAACTTCCATTTGAACTCCGCTTAACTGCAAATGGCACAAGAAATGACTAAGAACTTCTAGCTGAGTGAACTTCAAGATAGATATTTTTGATTTTCGAATTTAGAGGAATATCATGTCGGAAAGGGGCAGTAAACAAGATAGATAGATAGCTAAGCAATCCGAATTAGTATGGATCAAAGTAGGTATAAATTGATAGAGTTTATGAAAATTGCAGAGTTTTATGAGTAAAGAAATAAACAGAGTTCCTAACTAAAAGATACTCTTTCCGAAACAAAGAGAACTAGAAGATAGAATCATAAGCACATTTATTTGACACATTTTATTGATAGGTTTGGTCGCGCCTAAAATGATTTATTTAGCTTTTTTCTCAGCATGCTAGGACAGATTACAAGTTAGACTTAACTATTTTGTGGAGTATATCGTTTGGGAAGAGTTCAAATTTTGATTTCATTCAGCCAATGGGGGTGGGGCGAGTACAATACACAGTTAGCAACAGTTAACGTGCAACATGCCAGGGCATTTCAGAGGACCTCTCATTTAAATCAAACGATTATATAGATGGGCGGAAGGGATCGGAAGCTGCAAGCAGCGAGCATTCGTGTCATAGCAGGCACACAAGTTACAAAAACTAAAAGATTACGAAGTACGTTCATTATTTCATTTTGGTTTTTGTTTTTGATGGGGGAATATTTGGGGTTGGATTTGGATTTGGCTCACCTAGAGCTGGGGCCGGTATGGCACCATCTTTGGTCAGTACAACTGTGTGGGGTGTTTGAGAGAAAACAAAATTGAAAATCATATAAATAACGCTGGTCAATCATCATTATCATCAACATCATCATCAATAATATCATTGTCAAAGCAGACGCATAAAACATAACTTGGTGGAAACCACAAGTACGCATTATTTTTGATGTGTATTAAATACTATTTCGGTGTATCTTGAATGTGCGTTTTGGTTAGACAGCCGCAAAAACTCACGAAATTATATTACAAAAAGATATAAAAGGCATGGTGTTATACAAGTATTCAATATGCGTTTCCCAACAAATTAGTGGAATTTTTTTTGGATTACTTTAAGCCGGGGAACATTTTTGTAGCCTGTGCTGCCAACGGAAAAGAAACAAAATTGTAACATTTTCATTAGGAAACACACATTCGCTGGCAACTCAATTTCTCAGTTTCACTTAGTTTCAGTTTTTGGCCACCAAAGAACTTGATGTGAAAAGTTCCCAAAACAAACAATATAACAACGAAGAACAAAACATAAAAAAAAAAACGAACGAAAACTTGAGGAATGTTAAGAAACTAAACAATAGCAGCAAAAACAATGCACACTTAAATTGAGCAGACTTTTATTGCTATTTTCGTAGCTTTTGCTGCTGTTGCATTTCATCGTAATTGCATTTCTTAGCCGAACATTTGAACTTGTTTCATTATGTGGCTTAAACTTAGCTACCACGTAGGCGTGTATGTATGTGTCTATATAGGTGTGTGGGTGTGTGTGCGATTACATGTGTTGGTTTGAGTGTGTAGTTTGAGTGTGTCGAGTGTTAGGGTCACTTACCGTTGGGTACTGCTGTCACTTTTTTGGTTTGTACACGTGCAGTGGCGTTATTCACCTTCACAATTGGTTATTTTATTTAATTTTTGATAGATCAGCGAGCGTGGTGGTTGTAGTTGTTGTTGTTGGTTTGGTGATGAGTTTTTAAGATTTTTATTATATCATATACACACATATGAGCAGAGTATATATATAATTTGATAAATTTCGCATGTATAGAGAATGTAGAAATAAATTAGGTGTTAGTTAACAATTACGAAAATCTTTGCAAATAGTGTTCAAAGTGTTTGTGGTAGTGTCAGTGTGAGTGTGTGCTTGAAAGGCCTTTTAGCGAATTGTAATTTCGTTTGTGGTTATTTTATCTCCAAAAAAAAAAAAAAAAAAAAACCGATGGCTTATTTAAACGGATCAAAAGTAACAAAGAACACTCTGTATGAAAGTATTCACATAAATGCTGAGTTCTTTTAAATTCCATTTGTTTCGATTGAAAAAATGGAGAAAATTAATTTTTGAACGCTTTCAGCGAGCGGACGGACAATCATTTCCGTTTCCGGTTGGGCCACACACACACGCATACTCGTACATGCATGGCATCCATTTGTGGACACTGGGACTTAATTAGACTCGCGCGATTTCCGTTGCCATTTGCTGTGAAAATAACATTGCATTTCAGCCTTTTATGCGGCTCAGTTAATTTGTTTAACCAACCAACGGACAGACGTACTTTTTCGTACTTTGCGCATTTTCAGCATATTTTAAATGCCAATTATTTGCGGCTCACCCAGTAAGCATTAATCAGAAAAGGAAGGCGAAAATGAGAAATGCGTAATTAATTTTTAATGAAAGGCAAATAAGAATCAATCACTGTGCGCTATTCCTTGGATTAAATGAAAACAGATAAAAACCAGAAGTAGTTGGATGGAGGAATTTTTAAAGCCATATCGTTTTGGCACGCAAGGATTAAAAGTTGAAAAGCAATTTCTTTCCGCCACTCCTGTGATACATTCTACATAATATATATTAGTGCGGTCTGTGTGTGTGTGTTTCTTTGTATGTATGTGTGTGTGTGTTGGTTGGTAAGTTGTATATATGATATGGCATGCACCCACCTCGATTTTGCGTCCCTCAACCACGGTGCCGTGTAGACGTTCGCGTGCTCGTTCTGCATCGTTGCTGTTAGCGAATGTTACAAAACCGAATCCCTGCCATTCGCAATCAAACATGCAATTAAAGAAACATATAGAGTATATAGATTACGATTTTCAAAAACTAAAAAAAGATAAACGTTTTGGTACAACAAAGTCAGCTCTCTTCTTCGGGTTTTGTTGAAGTCGTATATTTATATTATATTATGTATATTATAAATAGATAAAGCTAAAGCTACAAAATACATCAACAAGGCGGCCAAGGACATGCTTTTCGGACAGGGGCCATTGGCACATCTTTGTACTCCTGGGCTTTAAGTGGGTCGACTGTTGGATTGGGATTTTGGAACTGGGTGTTTTTTTTTATATTTATTTTTGGATTGGCGACTGCGACATGCACGTGCCCTGCATTGCACACTACCACTCATTCCGCCACCTCCTTCGCCTGCCCCTCGCTCTCCAGTCATTCTTTCGGCCAAAAGCTCCTTGAGCATCTCAAGGTGTTGGGGCTTCGTTCCTGAATTATGCACAATTTCTAGTGCCATGGCAACTATGCAATTATTTTCACCAGGCTCCAGCGGCAAAAAAGACAACTCGACCAGGTTGCCCTGGCGACGGACAAAGACATCTCCTCAACTGGGAATTCTTGAAGTGCATAATTCAAATGAATTGTGCGACAATTAGATGCAAAATGTCCCGCACAATTGGCGGCAGAGAGAGAGAGAAAGAGGGAGAGCTGGCGACACCAGCGAGACAGAGAGGCACACAGAGAGCAAGCAGGCAGGCGATACAGTTGCAGAGAGAGACGGCGTGCTACTTTCTAGAATGTATAGAAAGTTTGAGGCAACTTACCTTGCTGCCGCGCTCGTTGAAGATGATTTCCACGTCGAGAATGGTGCCAAATTGCTGGGGAATAGAAAAATAATAAATATTAATTTTTGGAAAGCTTTCAAAGGGATAGTCAAGTTTGTAAGGAGTTCTAACGCAGATCTGCTTTCAAAGGGATAGTCAAGTTTCGGTATATAATTTATATATTAAGAGCGCGATGGAAGGAGGTAAGCATTTGTATTTAAATAGACTCTCTAAATAGATAAATGTATACTCATAAAGACAGTTTCTATCTGCTTTAATGTTTTTAAATTCTTCACTAAAGTACATAAAATATGGCTATTACTCATTCTCCAGTATGTATGCGATTTTTGCAAGAGCTAATAATAAAATTGATTCGATCCATGTCCGTACTCACCCCAAACATGGCTCTCAGATCGGGATCCCGGAAGCGGAACGGTATGTTGGAGACGTGCAGCCGCTTTGGCTGACTTTTGGCATCGAGGGAGGCGGCAGCTGCAACGGCGGCCACCGATTGGGCCGGGACTAGGGCGCTGCTGAGACTAGTTGCCACATTGGCGGTGGGCGACATGATGCCGCTGGCCGCGGCGGCTGCTGCATTCAGGTGGGCGATCACCTGCGATGTGCTGGCCGGCACAACGGCACAACCTGCTGGTGCGCCACCATTGGCAATGCTATCCAATCCGGTGGTGGGCAAGAGGCCAACGCCACTGCTGCTGGTGGCCGCCAATGTGCCGGAAGCTATCGAGCTGCCCGTCACTGAGGTGCCTGCCGATTGCATCGATGTGGGACTGCTGCACAGGAGCGGTTGCTGTTGCTGCTGCTGCTGTTGCTGCTGTTGTTGCTGCTGCTGCTGTTGTTGCTGCTGTTGGAGGGCGGGCGGCGTCTGCAGGAGCGGTTCACCACTGGCCACCGGCGATGTATCACCGGACATGCTGCCCTCGGTGGCGCTGCCATTGAGGGTTAGTCCGCAGCCGCCCGCCTGCGAGGCTGTTGCGCTGGACGGGGAGTTGCTGAGCGGTGAACTGGGCGTGCCGCCGCCTCCTCCGCCGCCGCCACCGCCGCCGGTATTGCCACCGCCTCCAGAATTGGGCATGGCGGAGCTCTGTTGTGATTCTGCTGCCTCATTGGCGATCAATACTGTGGACTGCAAAGAACAACGGGAAATATAAGTCAATTAGTAATGGCAAATACGCAATTTAAAAGGTTTAACTTAATTTAAAATATTTATATTTATTTATGAATATTTTCATTACAAATTTTTTGTAATTTATACTGAGCTTTGTTAATTATAATTTTTGTTCAAATTTCCCTTTGCTCCATATTTTCATAAACAATACGTTTAAGCGATTTAATTCTTTGTAAATAAGATGCAAATCATAAGCAAATAAAAACTTGTTGTTTTAAAATATTAAGGATGATGTAAATTTAAAATAATAAACCTTTTTGATTTCTATTCCTATTCGGGGACGCTAATAAATTCTTCTTGCAACCCTAAAAAATTTGCGTTCGCAAATAACCGCCAAAAGTGAAAATTAAATTTTTCAATATAATTTGGTGGAAAAGCGATTTTTGTGAAACTTTCAAAAGCACTCCAGCTATTTGCAGTTGTTTGCAGTTGATTTGCATGTATTTTTTTTTTGCAGTTGAATTTTCAGTGCTGCTGGCAAATCGAATGCGAGCAAGTGCCGCAATAAATAAACAATTGAAATGAAAATACAATTTCCAAGTGGTTTACATCCCGAGAGAGATGAAAATCCTGCGAGAGGTGCGGAAAAACCGGGCATACGCATCTGTATGTGTGTAAATGTGTGTGTGTGGGGTTGACCCAATAAAAAAAAGTCATATATGCACACACACCCACACACAGATAATGGGGACACCCATACATACAGACAGAGAGCAGAGAAAACATGAGATGGAAGTTCCATACACACACACAGACACCCATATGCACGTACATATTATTTTGTAGCACAAACTTGTGTTGACTTATGCAATAAAACTGTCGCGCAAACTGTTGCAATATACCCAATCCACCGCAGCGCAGCAGAAATCCCCCAACGAGCCCGCGAAAATGTTTGCATTTTGTATTTCTGCATTATTAAAACTGAAAATGTACTTGCTATCGATGGCGTGGTATGCTATGCTATTGTTGTTTGAAACGCCCCCACCTTCTATGGCATTTTCCCCGATCCGGGAATAATATGAAATATTCTCAATTTACGCAGGCGACCAAATTCGATGACAATGCAATAAAAACCAGAATGAACAGTAGACGGCGGAAAAAAAGGAAATATAAACAGATTTTCCGCTCGCCCCATAATGTAGGCAATGGAAATAACGCTTAACTTAATTTGCTGCGCATTGTTGGCACATAAATCTAAACAAATTTTTCTCCGCCCTGTGACAAAATACATTTTTTCCACGCTTTGCATCTTTTCACTTTTATTTTTTTTTTTTTTTTTGTACTCGGTTTGCATGTTTACCGAACATTTCGGGCCCAAAGTGAAATGGCGTGAAAAACTTTGGCCCCATAAATGGCCAACTGACGGAGGTGGTGGAGGGTTTATTGTTTCGGGTATCGGGTTACACGTAAATGACATTTAACGCTTTTTAGTTTATCGAAATGCTTTTTGTGCGGCACGCGACATGGCTGAAAAAAGGTCTGCGGCTCGGCTTGATTCGGAATTAAAAGAATTTCTGCATAAATTTGAAAACTTTTCGCCCGGCTAAAAAAGGGCTAGAAATTTGCTCTAAATTGTTTTGATTTGAATATTTGACTTGGGCATTATACGTGAACTTTGAATGCCACAATTGCGACCTTACTTTTGGAGTAACTTCGAATTAGATTGCTGCTTTTTATTTCCCAAATCTTAATTTAAGCTGGCACGACAAGATGTTGAGATTCGATTTGGTTATGGGAAATAGGATAGGAAAATTATAAACCTTTTTGTAGCACTGAAAACCCATTTCATTACAAATAAATCAAAGTATGCGAAATCCCTTTGGACGGCAGTCCACGTAGTGACGAAGCGTGTCATCATATTTGATGTAGATAAAATAAAGTGTACGCAAGTCCCTATAATCGCATTTTGGTTGAGCTGCAGTACCCACAGTTGGAATTTAATTTCCCCGACTCAATTAATTATAAGAAACTTGGCCAGCATCTGCTTTTGCCAGGCATAACGACAATGTTTCCCTGATGATGACTATGCGTATAAAAAATTGCTGTTACAAAAGAGTTCAAGTTGGGGCAAAAAGCAGCTTTACTCATGGCCAGTCGTCGGTTGGTCGCCTAATGAAGATGAGCTTGGTAAACAAATAGCAGAATAAAATGGGAGAAAGAAAAACGTGGTAAGACCAAGAAAATGGCACGTAAATTTCAATTGTCCACCCGGCTCTTCTCTATTTTGTATGACATGTTTTCCACTTTTTTATTCCGTCCTTGTCTGTTTATTTTATTATAATTTGTATTTTTTTTATTTATTTTTTTTTTTGTGTTTTCTGGTTTGGTTGCTGACTCACTATGCTGAGCACATTTGGTGGGGGCAGCGATGATTGCAGATGCTGCTGGTGTTCTGGTGGCTGCTGCACTTGGTCCACGGCATGTCCATTTGTCAGAGGATGCGGAATGGGACCTGGGACTCTTGGTTCTGCGAGGCTGGTTCCATTGTACTCGTACTCGTACTCGTACTGTGTCTGTGTTTGTGTTGACAGATTTGTCTGTGATAAATTTTCAGATAACAACAAGGATTTGCGTTTTAGTTGCAGTTGCAGCCTCTCTGTTCTGTTTATCTGGGTGATTGTGTTTGTGTGGGGGGACGTGGATTAAGAGACAGAGTGTAGAAATGGTCTAAAAAAACCAGACAGGCAGACAGGCGGCAGGCGACCAACACCAACAATTTGCTTAAATGGGTAGCTTAATTTTTTACTTTCAACCATTTTACAGCTGCTTAATTGCTTGGAACATGCCTTGAATATATAATTTGAACATTTACCATATAGAGATTTATGTAATTTAAAGTATTATGCGGTGTGACAAAATGCAGATTGATAAATAAATGATATGCTTGTTTATCCATTACCAAATGATGTATACAGAGTACTCATCGAACTCTAAACATTTTAAGAATATACATTTATCATCTAGGATTTGGTTTAAAGGTATCTTGAGAACGAACAACAAAATTAAAATAAACCAACAACAAGATTTGAATACTCTTAACTTTCTAGCCGATGAAATGCAAATTGCTAATCGCTATGAACAGCACATTTGTATTTTATCCAATTCATATACTTTTCCCAAGATTTCATCATCATTTTGTGGTCCTAATTTTCACTTTTCAATTACATTTTATCTTTATTTTCACTTCGACAGCCTTTTTAGTTGGTGCTGTTGCTTAGCCAATTAATATTGATAAACATTTAATTGAATGGAATTTTCTGAGTAATTGAATGTTTGGACGAGAGGAAATAAATAGAAATGTGTTGACCAAAGTTATTGCACATTCAAGAGACTTAACCACTGGATTTAATGCCAAGGATTTGGTTTAACTGACCATGGTCTTCAGTCGGTTTAAAATAAGCATATTAAATTTCCCAAACCATGTTCAAGTCTAAAATAATTTGTCATTTTCGGTGCTTATAGCCGCAGGACGACTGAACAACAACAAAAGGAATGGAGCTATTGAAAGTGTGAGGATTAATATTGCGTATTGTTCTTATTGAAGAGCGCACAATTTAATTAATTGTGAACTACGTGAACATAAAGCCAGTCAAAGGTTGCAAAAGAACAAAAGCACAAAACACATTTATTTCGCCTGATTAAATATTGAGTATTTATTACACCTGCAAGGCACAAATGTTCTTCTAACGAAATTCAAATTTCTTGTGTTTAATATTGGCCTGCTTATGAGAAATACTGTATTGCTCTTATCTATTAAATTATTCAAATGCACGAATCCATTTCCATAAGTAAATACCTTTGGTCAATGACCAAACAAGGGTTTGTATTTATTCAGCTGATTTTCCATTTTCTATCTCGACCTTCTAGCCCACAAGCATTTCTGTTTTGCTCTTTTTAAAGTTGTTTAAATATATAAGTGTGTGCTTTCATGGAATGCACATGATTTCAGAGATACTGCGGAAAACTCTAGCATGTTTATGCCAACGTGTGTGCTATAGTCAATTTTTAATTAGAAGCTGAGAAACAATAAACTACACAGCACACTGAAATCCAGCTCCAGGGTCAAATAGGAAACGAGAGCTAGCAGCCACTAAAAGTATGCTACAAAAACGCCCAACACAAACAAACACAAGTGAGTACGGTGTGTGTGTGTAAGTGTGTTTGTGAATGCCAAAGTGCGTGAGTGTTGCTTGCTGAAGGCATTTTTCTCTGTGCAGCTTGCTGCAATTAAAAATGTAAAAGCAAAGCGCTCACACCAACAAAAAAAATACCGACTAAACAAGAGCAGGTGCAATAGCGATAACAAGCACGGCTTTTATTTGTTTGCCCTGGCTTACACTGGGAAAAATTATATACTAATAACATAAAATAATAAGATACACACAAAAATATTGCCTATTTTGGCATACTTTTGATTTGACTTCTAAAATATATACAAAATAAAACATTTAAACAAATTATTATGCTGTATATTTAAATGACTTATCATTCCACACGCACTTTTAAGAAATAAATTCAAATGCGTCATCAAGTTTCATATATGAATTTGAGAAACGAGTTTATACAAAAATATACTAAAAACAAATATTCATGTATTGTTGTGTATGTGAAGTTATGAATTTTCGATCGGTGTAGCACTGGCATATAAGTATCTGTGTGTCTGTCGCCATCTCTGTAGCTACAAACCAAAGCAGACCAAACCGAACCAAACCAAACCGATGCGAACCCAAAAGCCAAAAACCAAACACAGCTACAAATGCATAACAAACACACACAAACACAAATAGACTGATAGCGAGCGAGTGGGTTGAATTGGTTGGTGGGTGGATGGTTGGATGGTTGGATGGTTGGATGGATGGCTGTTTGAAAGTGGGATGGGTGGGTAGGTGTACGGAGGCTGGGGGCATAGGTCAAACAATTGTCCAGGCAAACTCACCTTCTGTTGCATGTACAGCGAGGCATTGACAACGTCGGAAACACTGGTGGCCACCACCACCGAATTGGCCGTTGATGCGCCGCCGCCCCCACAGCCGCCACTTGAATATTCTGTGGTCAATCCTCCGGCGGTTCCTGGCGCTCCTGCTCCTGCTCCCGCCCCAGCTGTGTTGTTGTTATTGCTGCTGCCAGATCCTGCGGCTGCCTCGCTGGCCGATTTCATTTGGGTCACTGGATCAGCAGACTGTTTGGCCGCTGCCGCTGCCACTGCCATGGACAAACTGTCCGCGGCGTTGGGTTGTCCGCCGGCCACCTGTTGTTGCTGTTGCTGCTGGGCCTGCTGCTGCTGCTGCTGTTGTTGTTGCTGCTGCTGCTGCTGTTGGGCGGCGGCCGCTGCGGCAACAACCGCTGCTCCAGGATTCGGAGCGGCGGCATAGCCGGCCGGAGCGCCCGGAAAAGGCGCCACGCCCGCCTGCACCATGTGCTGCATGTTCAGAAAAGAAACGAAACGGAAAGAGAGAACGGGGAAAGAGAAGCAGAGAGAGAGAAAGAGAGATGGGTTTATGGATTAGTAATGGTCGTACAAGTGTAAGTACACCCTAATTTACACTCCAAAAAATCCACTACAGTATGTTGCATGAGCAATCATTCGATAACTATTTAGTTTTATGAATGCTGTCTGTACACTTCAATTAATAATAAAAAAGGAGTTTACTTTTGTAGAATTTCATCAGTATATGAATTTTCTTTAAATAATTGCTGACAACATTTCTTAGAAAATGTGTGCAGCGTCGATCTTCTATGCATTTTTGCTAAGAAAACTTAAATGCTGCAACTTATCACTTTACTCATAGGCAAATATATTTAATATCATATTGTGTAATGGTTTTACTCTTTTAGAAAATAGAAAATTAATCACTTGGGTATTAATTTTACCCGGTTATACTTTTCATGCTACATACTTGGGCTTTCCACTTTCCTAACCTCATGCTAAGCATTTTCCCATTTGCGTGTGTGCGTGTGTGGGTTGACTGTGCCCGTAAAAGTGCAAAATTAAACCCAGGTAGTTTATTTTCCAGGTGGTAACCCCATCGGTAGCTGGTCCAGAGCTTTCCGTATTAAGCTCTCCGTTAGACAAAGGACACACACAGACAGAAAGACAGACAGACAACCAGTTGGGCAAACAGGCAAAGTGGCAAGGTGGCAAGGTGGCAGTCTGGATGAGGGCCAGGATTTCGTTGGGCTTTAGAGCGGGGATAACGAAATGCGCTTTAAATTGTCAGTTTTATTTGTATAAATTTTCGCCATTATTTGGCTTGTCTCGCCCGGACTGCCAACCCAACCACTGTCAGCAGCTATGAAATATGCAAAATTTGCAGCTTATTGTTGCTTGTTGGCTAAATTCATATACACATAGGGGTTTGGGGGGAGCTAAAAGAAAACTTTTGCTGAATATCTTTTTTTCCGGTTGCCAGAATGGATAGAACCAGGCTTATCGTGTGAGTGGCATTTTAATATGTTTTTGGCTATGGAAATGTTTGCCGCTGCAGCAGCTGCTTACATAAAATGGTTATTAATTCTGAGATTTAATGCAAATGTCACAGAAATGCAGGTAAAATGGTACGACTTGAATGCTACGTTTTACAGTGCTTATGTTTGCTTTTCAATTAATAAACGCTGCTTTTCCCACATGCAATGTTGTTACGAAAACGTACAGAGACTAATGGGTTTCTGCTGCAGTTTAGTTTAGTTTCGTTTAATTAGTGCAGCTTAAAAATAGCCAAAAGCTATGTTAAATGCCTAGACGCTAAACTATTTCATCCGATGGACACAGTTCATCTATCTTGGCCGCAAATATATATCAATGCCTCTATGGGTATGATTTAAGTTTATTTTAATGCTATTTCTTTTGGCACAGCCCATCCAATTGCAGTCGTCATATGCGTGTGTGCTCTGTTTCGGCATCTTGGCGATTTGCGCTTTGAAAAATTAGCTTGTTAATTAAATGCAAGCCACATATGACAAGTAGGCGAGGTGCAAGTATCTGTGCCCTGATATTCTCCGCCCTCCCCAACTAGTGACACAATCCGCCGTGCAAATTGGTGCTCATGTTGCTCATCCGCCACGTTGGCCAACCCATGATATATGCGCACTCCTATGCTCGCGCATACATGCCACACCTATATATTAGCGTAAAACTAAACAGCGTGTGCAGAAAGAGAAAAAAGCATAAAGGAGAAACTTGTCATGTTGAATTTACATAAAATTTGTATGAAAATTCATTCTGTTGTGCCAATGAAAATGTTTTCCCCCCGATTTTCCAACCCGCTTTTCCGACAGTGCTGTGCTGACTTGCACTTGAGAACCACAACCATCTTCGCCTAATAAGGCTGCGTATGTGCGTCTGTCCCGTCTTAAAGTTTTCCATTCAGAAACTTTGTCCTTAAACAACTCCCAATGAGTTTCATAATTTCCTGTCAACGGTATTTTGAACGCGGGGTCACAGGCACTTGAAGCAAATACTTCGCTGCATTCGCAAATATTTTTCATTTAATTGCTCTTGAACAGTGCGGACCAAGGGCCAGGACGAAAAAGTATTCCTTTTTTACACATTTTTTTTTCTTTTTTCAGGGGCCATATTTACATGGCAAATATTTCGTTCGGCACTGCGGCCCTGGCAATTTGCATTTGTAGTTACTCTGCAGCATAAGAAAAAAGGCAAAAAAAATAACATCAAGAGGCAACAAAAATTGTCGGCAGCTGGCACTGTTTTATTGACTGGGGCCAACAGCGCCAACTGCCATCGTTTTTTGTTTACATTCGCCACTGTTGTTTTTGGAGAATTTTCAACAAAACACTTTACGCTTCCATTTTGCAACAATTTCGCTTGCTGCACTTTCAAGTGGCCGCATTCAAGCGTTTTGTCTACCGGGCGATTTTTCGGCGGTTCGATGCTGAAAAAATATTAGACCATTTTTCCATTCTCATTTAATAATATTACGTTTTGGCAGCACACGCTGCGTATGCGTTACGTTCAATGTGTGTCACACATTCCACGGCTGGTGATTGATGGGCGCCGCAAAAAACCAAAGAGAAACAATATATACGCACCTCGAAAAGAAAAATAAATATGAAAGAAAAATGCGTTCAAATATTTGTGGGGTGGAAAAACCTGAAAAAATCACGCTGGGAAATGCATTTCGAACAAGAAGCAAAACTGGACAAGTAAGTGAAATGTAATTACACTGGCGAGCAGAGAAATTTACATTTTGATGGACCATCATTTAAAAATAACGATGTAGTACGTTATTTATTAGCTCAATTACTCTTAGTTTTAATACCTTGGAAAAAGACGAATTTCTTAATAGTAAGTTATATTTTTATGATTGGTTACAAGGTTTTTAAGACACAGCCTCCTTTGATCTTGTGCAATTATACTTTCCGCGAGACTTTCAAGATTTTCAAACTCGTACTTTGTGTTTTTGTTGAATAATGTCTTGAATCGCACCAAAATATTTAGACAGAAACTAAGGAAACCCGAAAGGCTGCCACACTTGTCAGAAGTCAAACCGAATTATATATAAATTATGTGAGCGGTTTCAGGCGCATTACATCAACGGAATATTTATAAACCGTGACGTGAATGGTGAGTGAAATTTTTTCATGTGCTTTGACTGCGTACTTTTCCCTCAAACCAAAATCTACTCTTCTTTTTATTTTTTGCCGTGTGCGTCCGTTTCGATTAACATTACCAACGCCCATAACGTATTCCTGTGCCAAACACCCGGCCAAGTTTGAACCTGACATAGTCAGAGAAGGCATTTGAATTTGACCAATTGCTCAATCGCTGACGCAATTCAGCGATCGAAGCGCCAATTTTGGTCTACGATGCAATGGCAAATTTGGGGCGACGCTCGTTAAAAAGCCGGGCCAACTTGGTTGCTTGGCTCATGCCGTGAATGCGAATTAAAACAAAAAAAAATACACAAAAAAAAGTGTCTACTAAAAAACGCTGCCAATTGAAACTGAAAATTTGCCTAGCGCGCGCCAACCGATTGTTTTGCATTAAACTTGGTTGGGTCTCTTTGATTTCGACTGATTTTTGGTGATTGCTCAATGGGCGTTTAAGTTGCAAGTGGGTCGATGCAGGTCACGTCTGCCGCCCAGATACGTTTGGAAAGTATTATATACATATACATATATCGATGTCACGGCAATGTGTCAGTGCCTAGTTTGGTGAGATGTGATCCGGTCAGGATTTTTGGCCTAATGGAAGGTCACATCTCCATAATTGCCACGGAAAGCGAATGCAGCACGTGCCAATTCAATTTACATGCCAATTGCAATTGCAATTCGACGTAGCCACCCAAGGATATTAAGCTCGAGAGCCAGTCCTTGTACAAATTAGGACACTACACACAAACAGAGCTCTTCAGCCACTGCCAGTTTTCAGTTTTTGCCAACAGGAAATTACAGCGACAGCGTGTTGAAGTGTTAGAGGAAGTTCAGGTGCTGTGACATGTAATATGACTGCAGGAATCGCTCGGGCTCTGAAATTGCAGCATGCGGGTGCATAGCGACGAGATACAAGATACAAATACTCGGGTGCCCATGTGTGTGCTTGCAATCTGCTTGCAAATCAACAGAACGGAAATGTATTTCAAAATACACAAGATGCCATGTTCGCCACTCTGCATCCTTTTAATAAGACAAACACTACAGCATCGCATTGCAATGCAACTGAGTGGGTGGTTGGGTGGGAAAATTAATGAAAAGCGCGTCACACATCTCGTATACTTAATGAGCACTGAAAGGCAATAAGCCCAGCTTTCTTGTCCACCATTAGGGCTGAGCTTAATGCTCATTCCCATCCACTTGTTCAAGGATAAAATAGGACCATTAAGTAGGGATACTTTAACAAACAAACTTGGAAGATTTTTGTAGGTGCCACAGTCTAAAAACCTTATACTCTTTTATTTGCAAGGCGCAATTTTAAGAATGCAAAGCGTATTAGATAAAAACACAATTGGATATCTAGCAAAATCTATCATAAACAATAGTTTTTGCTTGTGGCAAAAAACTGCTTTACCATTTCTCCCCATTAAACCTAAAGTTACGAAACGCACAGTAGGCCAACTTTATGAATGAAATTACAGCCCGGCAGGGCAAAGCACTGGGCAATAACTGACCAGGTTAGCAGTGGAAAACTGCCACTGCAAAACGGTAAACCTAAAACGTCAAATGCAGGTGCCTACAGCAGCAATATTCACAACAACGACCAAACGTTTGGCAAACGGGAAACGGCTAAAACCCAAACAGAAATGCCAGCAAAAACAGAAAAAACAAGAATAGATGGCCCTAGGCAAACTTGGCTAAGCCATAAAACCGGTTGGCTGAAAAATCGGGATATATAGAAGGGAAAAACAGGGGAAACGGTCGTCGCTGCCTGCGCATCTGCAAAAACCAAAAGCGAAACTTGAATTGCAGACCGGCATTTAAATGCGGTTTCTGTTACCTCGTGCAGACATGCGGTTTTTCTTATTATTATTTTTTTATATATAAATATATTTGCTGCTTTCCTGAGGTGCCACTTTAGTATGTCACTGGGCTGCCCACATATAGCAGTTTCCATAGTTGTTAATGGCCCAACCTGAAGTAGCTGAAGATGCATCACGATGACGATGACGATGACGATGACGATGATGATGATGATGCAGCTGAGGACTGGTTTGCCATTTAAATGGAATTTATGCTGCCTTACCCAAAGTCGAAGCTCCAACTCCGGGTCTGTCATCAATTGCCTTGCAGCTTTGCCAAATGAAGCATGAGCGAGTGAATGGGAAAAGTGCCACACACCCACACATGCACTGCGAAAAATGCTAACTGCTTTCATAGTTAAGCCAAGCTGAGATATTAAAATGTGGTAGAAATGCAAACACACTAATGAAATATTGCAAAAAACGAATAGAAAGTTTTGTAACACAACCCAGTCAAAGAACTCATTACAATATAGCTGAAGTTTTGCACATCTTTCTAAATTACACCTGAACATCTCGTGATTGATGCGTGTAGCAATAGTTCCCAGTGTATTTTATACTACCCCCTTTCAATCCCCTTTAAATGGCGAAGGCGATCAACTAAACCTTAATGCCAATGGAAACGTGAGAATGTCGCCGCCTCCGAAAGCTGAAGATGCACTTTCGGGTTCGCTTCTTGTGCGAAGATTTTTATCGCGAAATTTCGTTGGGATTTTCCTTTTGTCGCATTTAGCTGGAGGGCCAATGAAAAATCTACGTGAAAAACTAACAAAACGTGAGCGGAAAATTAAATAATTGAAAAGCCACTGTGCGAGCGAGAGGGTAGAGTGTGTGCGAAAAGGTCGATAGATAAATGCATTGTGATTACTCACTGGCTTAGCAAATGAAAACGAAATTGGCCAATGACCACTCGCTGTCTACCATCGCAAATATAGGTACTAAATCAGCGGCGAAACCCTCGGCAGTAGCACAAAAATCAATATAAATAAATGAAGACAAATATCGAAAAGCGCACAAAGAGTCAAAGAAGTAAATACATAAAACAAAAAGCGCAGAGATCTTCACGTTCCCTCAACTTGTCAATAAACAAGGCAAAATGTGAGTGAAAAAACTCGCACAAATACCAAATAAATTTTTATTTAAGAGCAAATGTTTGGCTATGCAAACGGCGTGCCACCAACAGACAGAAGACTTGAATTATGGCAGTCGAACGATGCGTTGACAAGACCAAAGGAAAATAAAAAACCAAAAATACACGGCAACGAACACAAAAAAAAAAAAAGAAAACCCCGAAGAAATTAAAGGCCCTGTCAATTGGCGCAACATCAAAAAACATCCAAGATAAACTTTACTTTTATTTATATTTTTGATGTGGCTTCTTTCATGGGCTAACAGGCATCATGAAAGCGTGTCCAAAGGGCTGCAGCAACGAAACGCATTTGAAATGATGCGAAACCCATGCTAAATACGTGTCCGCCGTAGAATCGTCGAGAGTCAGCATGTTTGAAGTTTTCTCTCTTAATTGGATAGCGATTATCGAGTGGACGAAAATTTATTTTTCCCCTCTGACATCGTTTACGGAATGATGAAGTACCAATCGGTAATCGCCAATTGAACCGAAAGCGCAATCAAGCCAGAAATATCACATTACAGTGGAGACCGTTTACTCCCAGGTTCACATATATTTTATGGATTGCACTGGCAGCGCAAGCAATAAAGTTTGTCAGCCATTCGAGAAAACATGGATTTCTTTTTTAAAAAGGGTGTTTATATAGCTTTTCTAGCTTTAATTTTATCTAAATTATGTTCTTGTAGCGAGCGAATCATATTTCTGTGCCCCCACCAATTGAACCCCTCGTCATTATAATCACATTTACTTCCCATCAGATATTACAACGTAATTGCAATTGATACACATTTTTCTCTGTGTGGGTTCAAGTCGAGAGCTCACTTGTCTCCATTGAATTACCCCCAAAAAGCCAGACGCAATTGAACAGCATTTTAGCCACGATTCGGCAACAAATAAACGACTCTCGTGATTGCAGCGATTGCAGCGAAATCGAGACGATGTCGCTTGCTGTTGCCATTGATTGATTTTCGCGCTTAAGCATTAGATGCAATCAAAGTTACAATATTTGTCCACTGTACTCGACTTACGCCCAGTAAGTCAAGGAAACCATAAATCAGGCAACCCCTTCATGCAATCAATGGGCAACACCTCTTTAATGGAAGCCTTAAAGGCCCCGCCAGCTTTTTTATACGGGCTCCGAAAAGAAACACGCAAAGCCCCAAGACGCTTATTAAATTGCCATCCACAAACAAGGCCCAAACAAACAGGCCCAAAACAAAACAAAACAAAAAAACAAAACGGAACATAACGGAACGGAACCGAACAGTACGTAGGCAAATAAACAAGCAGTCGAAGCGGAAGGAACTAACGGCTGAAAAACAAAAGCCTTCTTCCGGCCACCCACTGCACTTCACCTGCCAGAAACCTTTGGGTTTATGAAATATAAATGAGCTTTGCGAGCATTCAAACAGTAAGAAATCCAAAATTACACGCAATTTATGGATGTAGCAGGTGCAGGAAGTGGGCGTGGCCGGTTGCCATTAGGTTTTCTTTAAAGAGCACGCGACAAAACGCCATGCTACACGTGGCAAAATTCATTAAAACGCCGATTTCTTACATATTTTGGTATACTCATTTAAGAAAAAATGTATTTCTAATTAGTTTGTATTTAATAAGTTACATAAAATGCAGGGGTTTATAGTGAAAATGCATTTCCCTACTTAATATATGAATACATTTCGAAAAACCTTCAATAACCATGTTCTTGCGACGTCTTCTGCTAACTTCTAATAACATTTCCGCAGTTCACACATTTTTTCCCACTGCAATAACAGTGTTTTAGTGGCGTGGGCGTTGTAGGGCAATTACCGTTAAGCGGATTGTAGTTTACACTCTGTGTGTGTGTGTGTGTTGATACACACTGAACTAAGCTAGAACTAAATGCGCATTCTTAAGGTACGTTTTCGTTTTCATTCTCATTTTCATTCTCATTTCCCGACAGGCGTTATTGTTATGACCCGCTGCCATTGCCCCACCTGTCTCGCTCTGCGCATTTTCACACTTGTAAATCAATTAATTTTACAGCTTATTGTTGTTGCCACTACTGCGTGGTTCTGGCCACTGGCCACTAGTAGATACTACCAACTGCTGGTTGGTCATTTAGCCTAAGCGCCGGCTAAGCTCAAAATGCTCGACTGGCCAAGGATTGTGAAGCCCCTGCAATGCCCAACTCAAAATCCAAGTGATTGTGTGTGGGAACTTTTGTTTCTCCCCTTTTGTTGCTTTCGAAAGCAAATTGTTGGCTGTAAATGTTGTTGTTGTTGCTGCTCGTTTGTTTGTTGTCGGTTTTGTTGGCGCTGACTGGATTTTGTGATTTGCCTGAGCGGCGACCGTTGAAATGTAATTAATACGTGCCCCACAACTTGGTCCCACACATTCGGGTCAATTGTGTGTAAAGGGAGGCGCCTCCGCAATGCGGTTACTAAAAGGTGATTATTATGGCTCTATGGGTAAGAAAGGATTAAAATCCCAGGGGGAACAAAGTTTGGCTTTTCCGAAAATGTTAAGGATAGGATTAAGATTTACTCGTTTATTTATTTACATCACCTTTCCTTTTGCTCAGTTGGCTTTTTAACAACTGTTTTAATGGATGTCTAGCTCAATTCAGTCGGTTTCCCAAAATCTTTGTGTAGATACACGTTTTTAATTTAGTTTTAACGAAATTTTAAGTAAATGTAAAACGTACGAGTAACTAAGTAGTTTTTCAAAACAGTTTTTAACCAACATGTCTGCAAATTCAAATTCACTAGAAGTCTCACCGAATAGCACTTTAAACTTCACAAAAACCAACGACAAGCAGGAAATAACCATCAGAAATGTTGGCGAAAAGACAGTGACCTACAAGGTATGCAATTATTCGAATCATATCACTATTATTGATGTATATTCTCATAAAATCACCAGGTGCAAAGCACAGTGCATGGCAAGTTCAGTATACGACCCCGCTGGGGAGTCCTGAGCCCCAATGAGCACTCACACGTCGTCATAACCATGTGCAAGGATGTGGAGCTCTCGAGGAAGGGACGGGACAAGATAGTGGTCGTTTGCATGGTTTCGCCCATCAATGCTGTGGACTTTGACTTGACCACCTCCTTCTGGCGCCACAATATCTGCTACGATCCCAAAATCGAGAAGCACCAGCTCACCTGCCATCAAATGAATGGGGAAGGCGAGGGCGAGGGCGACGGAGGCGATAAGGATGCGAAGCCGGGCGATCTAAGGTTTCGCAGGGGGTTATGCCCATCGTTTTGCAGTATTCGCATTCCGAGCAAGTACTGGCGATAGTTTTCGACCGGGATAGAGGGGGGTAGGGGCTTTTATACCCTTCAGACCAGACTGGAGTGTCAATTATCCCGCCCGAGCATTTTGGCCCTAATGGCTGCAATGACTAAGTAATTGGTTAGCAGCCCTACCTTGTCTTGCCGTGCGCCTCTATGGGCCAACATTGTTGATGATGAGCCTTCATTAAAAACTAAGAGCGTGTCTATCTCTCTCACTCTGTGTGCGTTTGTGTGTTGGGTGCATCAAGTGGCTCGAAGGATGCTCATGCATCCTGGCAACATCGAGTGCGTTTAGCCCCCACAGCTGGCTGATAAAAAGGCGTAAATTGCTTGCATTTTAGGCGTGCGCCTGGTTCTTCCCTCACTGGCAATTAGGCAAACGTTAACGAAGGCTCTTGAACTTTGGTTGCTCCCATCGATTGACATTCAGCTGGGTTCACCAGCTTGCCCGTCAATTAACTTGCAGCGCCAAACACAAAGTGAGCGCCAAAAAGAGTGGAATGGTAAGGAAAACCATAAGAAAGCAATGCTAAGCAGGTAACCAATAAAACTGGCATTAAATGTTGGCTCAAGCATTGCTTAAAAATTAAAGTTGCATAAATCTGGCCAGCTGTGTGTATCGTGCACAAGGTTTATGGGTTGATACAGGGGGCTTTGCAAAGGAAATGAGAGCCAGCGAGATAAAGACATTTGGTAATGCTTCGCAAAAGGCCAACAGCATGAAAGGCACTCAGCCAGTAAATTAGGTTCATGTCTCAACTATAGTTTTGACCCAAGTCCAAGGGGCCAAAACAAACATTTCGATGCCGTTGCCAATGATGATCATGATGATGATGTGGACGTTGCGGGGGCGTTGCCAAAAACTGGCCACTTGTTCTGCTCGAGCTGTGTTGTTGTAGGGTTTTGGGGTGGCCAACAGCCCCGAACAATGGAGTAAATCATAGCCATGAAATATGTGCCAAGTGAGGAGACGACGACCACTACACCTGGCTGGCTGGCTGGCTTGCTGGCTGGTAATAATAATGAAAATACAAAATAGCCCAGCTGTGGGTAGGGGGCAAATATTCATCGCTGGCTGATGCCTTCACCTTGTGCAATTGCAGTTTGTTTGCCCGAATTTACGAGCCGGCACAAAAAGCAAACGTGACCGGTAGGGCAACATACAAATATTTTCCTTTTGGCTAAATAAAACACAAAGGAAACACACAGCACGCAAAAAAATAAATATAAAAATGTAATAAAATTGCAGCTCATGCGAGCGATAAACTTCCTAACTGCCCCCGCTCGCACTGGGAAATCTCAGTCGTAAACTATACAATGACTTGGCACTGCTTAACCCTTTGGTGACCCTCTGGCGCACCGACCCCACAAACACACTGTGCACATACACCCTGTTTTTCCTCTTTTCTGCATGATTTAATGCGTAATTTTCAGGAGTTTGCAAAATTTTTCGGATAATTTATCATTTTTAGATGCGACGCTGGAGCGAGGAAAAAGCGAACTTTGAGCTGGGATTTCTCCATTTTTTTGTTGGCCACAACGACACCTGCCCGTGGCAGTGCCTCTATTACAAATGGCTTCCAATGCGGACGGCAGGAAGCAAAATTTGTGACCACAGTCTCATTGACATTCGAGATTTAGTGGTGAGTGGGCTGAACGGAACGGAACGGACATGGACCATCGACCAACGCAGCCTTAATTAAAATTTTCCCATTGAAATGTGGCCAGAGAATAATAAGCTGGCGGTACAAGCTCTGTTGATAAATGTCCTGGGGATTTTACAGGACTTTCACAGGTCCTTTGCGCAGGCAGACCAAATTTAATGGAAATTGTTTTTGGTCAATGTGTAGGAGCCAGAATTTATTTGCGTTGAAAACAGCTCCGGAGTGGGAAGTAAATTTGGTGAAAATTATACAAAACTTTTTGGATTAGAAGTAGGAAGAAGTTTTTACTCACACAAAAAAAAAAAAGTACTATTGAACTTTTGTTATTATAAAAAGTGCACTTTAGTCGGAGATTTGGCTTACGGTCTAACTAAATAAATGGAGCATAAAGTTCTCGGCAAAGCTCTACATCATATTCATCGAATAAAACTAATATGAGTATATTTCCCTTAAGCATGTGTAGTTTTGATTCCCATTATGTACATATAACCAAAAGTTACGTTTATAACTTCTTACTCAGTTAATTATCCCAAAGCTCTTACTTATTTCATGGTACACCATTTCTAGCAACTGATTTGCTTGGTAGCTTTTAGAGTGAGTCTATTCTCGAATCGATTCTTGTAAGAATGTTTATCATAATTAAAAATGATTAAACTTTCACCATGATCTGATTGGAATTCAATATGCCTAAGGGTTTTTCGTCCATCATTTCTCCCCACTGGAAACTCTCTTCTCGAAAGCAATTAAAAATTTAATGCATATCCTGGCCTTTGAATTAAGTTTTCCCAACCCAACTGAACCAAATTCTTGGCCTTCAACTTATGCCTTGTGGCTGTTCCACATTCTCATCCAAATATTATGTATGCAATGGCAAATATTTTGGGAATTTTTGATATAAGAGCCCTTCCAAAATATGCAATTGAGAAAGGCCGACTTTGAGTAGGGTCAAGATGCAGTTGATTTTAATTACCCAACAGACATTTGCATACGGGAAGTACTTGGGCTTTTGATTGCTTTTGACCCTTATGAAGCTACAGTAATGTTCGGCTGAAACCGATGGGTGATTTTAACCAATTCATGTACGATTTACGAAAATGCAGTGAACAAAATTAATAGTTAAGAAGGGTCTTTAACAAACAAATCGATATAATCTGAACCAATTCAGCTGCATTGTCACTTTCACAGCAGCTTACCTTTTTCAACAAGCCATAAATAAAGATGAGCAATTATAATTCGCGTTATCAGATTACCGCGTATCCAGACACCAATTAGTGGAGCAAGTTAGCTTGCTTCACTGCAGGGGAACTTGATTGATTCGCAGGTGTAGAGCATCATAGTACAGTTTCCCCTCGACATCTTGTAATTTGTCGTCTCATCTGGCAGTGTTTCTTCTGCACGCAGGTTTTTCATTCCATTTACCCCCTGCCCATAACTTACACACTTTGAAATGCAACACATGGCGACTGCAGAGATTTTCCCTTTTGCCGCTGTTTTTCCTCTAGATTTTCCGCTGCCACGTTTTTCTTTTACATCTCTTTGGCACTCAGAGTTCCTCCACTTTTGCTGCAATATCCTTTCTGCTGTCTATTTTTATCCCCCGAGCACCGAGTTTCCCCGAGTTCTCTGGGGTTCGTTCGCATTATCACCCAAAAGAGCTGGGGTATTCCGAGTACCGAGCACCAAGAGAGCTGTGGATTTGTCGTAATTGTGGAGTGGAGTGTTCTCGTCCATCGCAGAAGCGTCTACCTCTTTAATAAAGTTTCCTCAGCCTCTTTGGCAGCCCCTATTCCCGATTTTGAGTCTGTTTATTTCCCTTCTTTTTCTGCCTTCCTACTGCTGCTTTTCAAGCAGACAACCCCATGCTGCGTTTTTGACTTTCTGTACTACACTGTAAACAAATTAGCATTCATTGCTGGGGATTTCTAATGTGCAATACTAATCGATTTACTTGAGTTGATTATATCAGTGAAATTTAGCTTAATTTTGATATGGCGAATAGTTAGAAAATGTTGTATCTTTAGGTTTTAACGTATTTTCTTCAATCTGTTCCTACAAAACCCTGTGATTCTGTGCAATTTTCCAAGTGATTCGATTCTAACATGGCAAGTAATGTCAGTGTATATATATGTATCAACCCCACAGCCTTATGGTTAAACAGAAGCAGAAACAACAGCCTATTCCAGATCCCTTGGCCATCCAAAGTCGGAGGCCACAGGCATCTAAAATTAGACTCCAGACGATGTCGATATGGCAGCAGTTTGCTCATTAAGCGACCAATGGCAATGGCAATCGTGCCGCATGTACAGCATTTTAATTTGTGGAATTACGGCGCAGTAAATGAGTATGGCTCGACTTCCCACCCAAAACTTATACACCATTCTCTAACAGAAATTTCCGCATAAAAAGTTAAAGCTACAAATAGAGTGTTAGGTAAAGCAGTAAATTACTGTTATTAAAAATCGCTTAAAGCAGTACAGTAAAAGTGTAGAAAAAGATTCACCGATATCAATTAAATAGTCCTAATACTTAGTTGAATGTTTTTCCAATAATTCTTTGAGCGGTACATACCTGAAAGAAAGAGAAAAAAATTAATATTATATATATATTTAATTACGAATATTTTGTTAACGCAATCATTAAAATCTTTCCACCAGACTTATTTCATTTAGCCCGCGGTTTGGTAGCTTTTTGACAAGCCCATTGATAAGCGATTTCAAATAGTCATATTGGTTTAATATTTTGATAACATAACTAGTTCAGATATACGCATGATCCGCTTTACTATGGCCAAATTACTATAGATTAACGCGAACAAATACGGTCCATAAAATATATATTTTGAAAATAAAGGCATGCCTGAAGCCAGAATGAAATAAAATAATGCACCCCTAGAATATTCGGATAAATCCGCTTATTTTCACATGAATTGAGTTCAAAAAGTCAAAAGCAAATATAAAATTCACCCCGAACACATCTGCACTTTAGCGCAGATTTGTTACGTGACAAAAATGAAAATGGAACACCAAAAAAAAATACAAAAAAATAAAAAAACAAAAGCCGAATGAATAAATTATACATAAACACATTGGAATATATGTACACACATTCATGTGGACTTTTCAATTTAAATGTGCGTAAATTGTCTGGAATTCCCGTGCCAGAAACAGATTCTCGCGAATCTGCAGTCTATAAACCTGAAATACGTAAACGTATTTCGAAATGTGTAAACAAATGCCGGGCTACAGAAAATGTTTCAATTACAAAATTCGAAAGGCAAAAGGCAAAAGAAAAATTGAAAACGAAAATCAGAGAGAACAACCTTTCCGCCAACGACACTCTTTGCATCTGTATCCCATTTTTGTTTAATTTTTAACTCAACTCGCAGCAAAATGAGAGGTTCGAGCACTCGGGTCTGGGCATTTAATCAGTTTAAATTGACACTGGGGGTCAAATTCATTAAGATAGAATTCCTTTTTGTTTTTCATTGGCTGCTGGGCGTTGGCTCCATGCGACAACGAAACGACAAACGTCAACGAAAGACGACGTTGGAA